TACGGTCCGACTTTGGAAATGATGATGCATACAATGGACTCCGGACTAGATGCGTTCCTTTAAGTCTTCCTACCAAAATGACCAAGTTGCGAAAACAAGATCAAACAACTTGTGTACAACTAAAGGAAACTGCGACCACACAAAAGGCAATACCATCTTGGTCTTCATACCTTCGAAACACTTGAATAATGTTCACCTCTCTCTATTACATGTCCTGTCAAATTTGTACAAAGAAGCTTGATATGATATAGCATTGACTATATCGGAATGATATTTTCTCATCAAATTGCAAAAACTAGGAGGTATGCCATACTTTTACAACCGTTAAGAAAGGCCAAATGACAAGATTGACGTACGATTGAGTTCTTTGACCTGCTATAATCAGTGCATTAATTACCACCGTAATTAGATCGCATACATGAAATATTTATGCTTTATTGAAAGATTGAAGGAGACAGGTGAGGAGCTACCATCCAAATGAAGGCGACTCAACCGGTCAGCTCAGTAATGGTTCTGGCCTCACTCACACTCGTGCAACATGTTGATACAGCTCATCAACCAAACCATGCTTACAAAATTACGCAGTCCCAGTCAGTCCCTGAATCGTAATGACTCTAAATTGAGAGGTTATAACATGTGGTTTCGTAACCTGACTTACACACTTGCAAGCGTACATCTCATTAGCTCAGCCAGAGTTGCCTACGCACTAATGCAGTCTTGGTCAGAGTTTTTTCTAGGGTCATTAAGACATGATGACCCGAACCTAACATTTGGCTCTTTTGATCGGACTTATTTTGTACCGGCATTGCGTACATACGGTAACACACATACGCACACACACTCGAGTAAAAGTAGTATGACCAATATGAAAGATAATTAGTTAAACCATCCTATATCTATCTATGCCTACTCACTTTCGTTTTTTAGTTATGAGTATATATCAGAGGTAAGCTAGAGCCGGATAGTCTACTTGACCTGAAGTTAACATGAAACTTTTAGAAGAATGAGTTCCATCTCTGATGATGTCCTGATTATGTCGTGATGATGTTATGATAAGATCGACCTACAAACCTCTTCTTATAGACCCAGTTACTATTTCTATTTACAGTTTATTAAATTCCCAACGTTGGAGACTATCCCGACTCCATAAAAAAACACTTCGGAAAGGCTGTACTCATCGGGGTCATCTTAACAACACGTTGAGGTCGTAGAAACCAGATAAAGCCCCTTCTATACAGCGGTCAGAAACTGAGACCAAAAAAGAAGCCATGGTCCTCATGTCTGCAATCAAGTTGTGAGTAATCAACCAAATTATGAGATTTCTTATCGAGTGTATACAGAATAGAATAATCTCTTGAACTAGCCTTGTTGAGAATATCATTATTTCGTATGATACCGCCGATTTCACCCGAAGCTGGCGACTGCTTCTAGTCGTTCGGCTACCGTTGGCCGTTAATGCGGCTTCCACGAGAGATTCTCCCTCGTTTCGGGTGAAAACGAGTCGATCTTGTTGTTCCTTCATTTCAGTTGACTGACATTGTCAGATCTGGTATTTATTCTAGCTACTGGCTTCAAGTTGCCGCATTGAGGGTCTGCGAATTCAAGCAATTTCGGTGAAGATGCGCCACATCGGCCGCCATGCAGAGCATGCATTGCAAAACCCACAAAATCATGAGATGTCACATTTGGTGGACAGAGCCAGACTGACTCTCGTTCCTGCAAAAATGACTTTTAGTTGAGTTTCGTAATTCTCTCTGCCGATATCTGTCATGGCTTAACAGACAAGACCAAGCACCGAACACCTATTCGCCTAAATCTTCAGCACCAACTCCTGGGCAATACTCCTTCAGACTCCAATGGTGCCTTCTATTCACCTCTTCAATCGTAACAGAATGCTCCAAAGTACCAAGCTATTAAGGGTGTCTTCGAAAGCCATTTTTTCTTGCTTTGGAGACTTTAATTAAGTATTAAAATGCATGATTGGGCGCTAATTGGCTGTTCACACCGACGTTCAGAACGACGCAGCTCTCGAGTCATCTTCCAACGTTTCGGCTGACCTACGTATGGCGGACATCATCAGAGCTAGGAACTCTCAAATTGGCACAAAGTCAAAAGGTCTTCGGGCTCTATCCTACATGTTATATATACTCATAACTAAAGACGAAAATATATTTATATAGATAGCTAGATCAGGGTATATAAATGCGTGTGTGTATGCGTTGACGTCTGTACGTCATAAATTAGAGTAATCACAAAAGCCTAACTTTAGGCTTGGGTCATTTAGTCTTAATGATCCAAGGAAAGACATGACCGAAATTTCGCAAGTCCATATGTAACTCTGGTTGAGATGCTGAGATGTAGGCCTGGAGACCAACCCAAGAAAAGACATGACTGGGATTGCGTAATCTCGTACGCCCGATCCGGTAGATGAGCTTAGCATGGTGCCAGCCAAGACGAAGACAAGTGTCTCGTAGACTGAGTTAAACAACTGCAAAACAACGCGAATTGTCCGTCGTCTTCCGATGAAATCAACCAATCATGCACTTCAATACGAAATAAAAGTCTCCACATTAATGTTGGAGTGGAAGGGATCAGTAAGTTGGTTCCATCAGAGGCTGTGTGGGTGGGTTGTAGATTTGTGCGAATTGGTCCTCGACGCATCACCCTGCGACCCCGATGAATCCTTGCTGAGTTTTTGTCCGCCATGCGACGGAAATCGCAGAGCAGAACATCATGCTTGACGATACTTCACCAGAATACGGAGACAAGGAAGTTGGCCAGCTTCAAACCTATCTACTTCTTATAGTCCAACTTGGTCCACTTAATGAGGCATCTCATGCTTTGGTTGAATATTCTATGCTCTGCCTTGAGAAGGCTAAGGAGAATTATGTTATGAACACATCTACAACCCCAGCTCCATGGCAACCCCCCCCCAGCCTCGGGTGGAACCAACTTACGAATCCCTTCAAACGAAATGAAAGGTACTCAAGCATCAATCTATTAGGGGATTCTTCGAAATCCAGTTTTTCTACATCTCCACAAGAATGGTGTGACTTAAGAGAGTCTAGAGACCCAGCTACTCTTCGTATGCTCTTTTGTGTCATATTTCTCAAATCATGCTTTCACGAGAGATGACAGCTCATCTGGAATTCGTCAGATTTGCAGGACGCTGGGGTCAGTTCAGGAGTACCTTCAACTCACCTTTCCACATGGCATGCCAGGTATCACGTTGATATTCTTTGGCGAGGTGTGCCGGAGGACAGACGAAGACATGCGCACTGCCTCGACTAGCGTGTCAGCCGGAGCGTCCCAGACTGGCCAAACGACAAGACCGGGTAGGCACCATCGTGATTGTGCGGCGCAATCGACCCATAAGAATGTTTACTTTCACACAAACTGACAGTCGGCCTGTCCAGAGAGGCATCAGCGACTCTGGGATCCAGATCCTCGAGTTCGCAGAGGGGGCGGACTGTGAGGCGGTTTCACTGGCCGGAAATCTGACTTTCCCTTAGTCGCAACCACCCGTTGTGTCGTTGCTTCATTGTCTCCCGTTGTCTCCTGTTCTTTATGCATGTGTGAATGTGTGTGTGTGTGTGTGCGTGTATCTATTCACTGGTGTGTGCGTTGTGGGATTTAAGCTACTCTACCTTATCGTTTGGACGGCCAACTGCCTCGCCGCTTGGTTACACATCGTCAAATGACAAGCAAATAACACACCGGGTCGTTCAAACCGATTCGGCCGTTTGTCTTGCCAAGTATCCATCCGATAGGCTGAATCTCTGTCTCCGTGACTGCCGACCGGTGCTGGGCTTATCTTGGCTGAGGATAACGCTTGTCAAATACCCCCTCAATGTGCAGTCTTGAAGGAGTTTTTGCAGTACCTTCTCGGTCTTCATATTCTTCCCTCCCACCCGTCCCAAGCTGGCCCTCAGCTACTCGGCCATATCATACTGTCCTCCTGTGTTCTTCGTGGACAGGTACCATGAACTGTGCCGAGGACACGGCAGAGACGAGGCACTGGGAGCTGGAATTTCAACTTGTACTTTTGCCTGGATTCGCGACCGAGAGGCCTAACATGTGAAGTGCAACTGGGTCTCCGAGAGCGTCTTGAATATTTCTCATTAGGACATCATTTCATGTCGAGAGAGAATGTGGCGCGAACAGTTGACCCCATCCGAAACCGGGGGGAGGGCCTTGCAGTCGTGAATGCTGGACTGTGCGATACGGCCAACTGCGCATTCCCCCCCTCCCCATCACAATCCGTTGCGAGAACCCATTTTTAAATGTATTTCCATAAACACTAAACCCAACTTCACACGCAATACAAGTCCATCTGAAGTAGAGCTAAAGCTGCAAGATCATGCTTTAGAAACGAAGAGCATTAAAAATAGTGTCGAATCGTTTTCGCAATTTGTTCATGTTGTCAGGGCGACTTAGTAGAACGCAGCTTATCCGAAGTCGTCTGCCAAAGTAGTTGTAATGATGCCCAGCATCAGACAGTGGACTTGGTACACTCTCAAACGTTTCGTCGGCATCGTAGTCGGCATCATCAGTCAGTTTTGCCATTCGCCGCACCAAGCTACGAACTTGTCATAGAGACAAGTGAAGTCAATCCATCGACAACCGTTCTGCTGGAAATGGTTACACTATCACTCCTCTTTCTGTCCTGGTCTATCTATCTACTCTTTACCCTCTAATCCCACTTCTGTCCCGTCACTTCTCACTTGTTTACATTCCACTCGTCAAAATGTGTGCCCTTTTTTGGCAATTCTAGTGGCTCCATCACACTTGCTATCTACCCCGAACCCTCTCTTTCGATGGGCTTATCAGAATCGGGCCTCCAATCCGGATCCTTTCATTGTCTCGTAGATTTTTTCCTTCTCTTTCTGGTTGACCGATTTCACTCGGGTCCGGTCTCCATGTGCATTTCACTCCGGTTAGCGGTAGATCCGTGATCCAGGCGTCTCCTTTTCGCTGGTCTTGCTCCAATCTTGTTTTCCCCGAGTTTGCTCAAGCAGTAGGCAAAGTTATCGCTAACTCTACCTTCCTCAAATCTTCTGTTCATTAAATT